ACTGCCACTGAATTGATTTGTAGATAACAGAAAGTAGGCAAACACAAAAAATTTTTATTACCGTCTACACGTAAAAAATTAGTTGCTGACCTCAGCAGTTTTCAATTCTTTGAAAGAATTCTTTTTTCATATTTTGGTAAGGTTTGCAAATAATGACCACCAAGCAGGCTGCAACTTTAGTTACAAGAATCCGTATTTTGGAAGTCGTTTTTAACCAAGGTAAGTTTTAAAAATTCTTTTTTTGTTTTATTATAAGTGAAAGATGATAGGGGAACAAAACTATGTCTTCCATGCAAATTCGTGTGGAACAAACTGATTACAGGTGGGTCTTCGCTTCTATATTGCTGTAAACTAACAGTATAAACTCAGAAAATGTGCAAACGAAGAGTCTGTCAAATCTTTGAATGTTTCTCCTGCCTTTTTGGGTTATCCTTTTAACCGTTTTGTCAAAACAGCCGTTTTTCACCTATCTGGCTAAGAATTCTGCCTTCATTCCGGCACTGGCATATGAATACTGCTATGCTTGTTTGGTCTTTCTCATCTTCTTAACATGTGGACATTTGCAAGGGATAAGTGTGTGTTTGTAAGTTACAGTGAAAATACTACATTCGTTTCTTCGTTCCTTACAAAATTTTTTTTCTCTTATTTTTTCTCTTAAGCCATTTTCTTTCACAAGGCTTCCTCGTACCTATTTAGGCTTTACATTTCAACTTTGAAACTGAGTCAATTCCCATAATTTCGTCAATCAGTGTTAATAAACTTAACTTGGTGGGACTAGACTTTGACGCCCAATTTCTCCTGCCTCTTCCAGAGCTTCCATTATTCTTGAGTGTCACGAATTTTCATTGCACTTAAAAGGGGATGGCCGTGTAGAATTAAAAAGCTGAAACCATTGAAGGCTGCGCAGAAAAAAAGAAGCTGAAGAAGCTATAGGAAGCAAAGAAGTTATAGGTTTTCTTGAGAAAAGGCGAATGTTAATACTACCGGCAATAAACTATGTCAAGTAATGGCTGCTCCTGCTCGGTATTACTTGGTCAGGTCTGCAGTCCCCCTGACTTCTGCAACTAGCACTGCAAAAAACCATACAGCGACTACTGGATCTAGCTATTTTTGCACTTTCTGACAAATAACCATTATGATCGTAACAAATTGACCGAATTCAGACCAAAGAAATCAAATGCAATGAATAACATTACTGCTGCTAGCAGATCTTTTCAATTTAAAAAACTACTTTTATCTGTTGGTTTGAGGATTAGGAATACGCAACCCGGACTGCATCGGACAATGAAGGTAAAATTTATACACCTAAGGACATCAGTCTCCCAAAGGTCTACCTATCCCAACTTTATTTTTGCCTACTTTATTAGACTTATCGTTGCATTGCATAGTGCTTAAAAGTATCTCCATCATTAAGCAGTACAACACGTAGTTTACTAAAGCAAATTTAGTTTTATGTAATTATCATTAGAAAATCTTCATTCTCTCAATAGAAACAGAGGTATTATTACTACTATTATTATCATTATTATTACCGTCATCATCATTAATATCATTATTATTGCTATTACTCTTATTACTAGCACCTTTTTTCCCTTGTTTTTAAATAAATCACTGTCACAAAAAATCAATACTGTTGCTTGCTTTTAACACAGTTTTTACCAGACGATTTTGGCGGCCACTAAATGCTGTCGCTAACGCAAAAAGTTTAAACTTTCAAATTCTGTACGGGTAGTTTAACTGATTCGATATAACCGATAATCACAGTTGCAACAAACAACGACACTGTTTGTCGATGCTTTAGCTGTCAACAGCCGAAGGTACTGCCAAGCACGTTCACAATCGTCTTATTTTTTTACAGTGCAAACAACCGGCAAAGAAGGGAAAGCAAGTATTTCAACCGATTTTGACCCAACAAGAATCAAGTGTGTTCCTTCATTGTTAAGCGTGAATTTCTAATCGTCAGTCCTAGAGAAACTTCAGTGACTAAAACAGCGAACTGAAATGCACTTCGAAGAGCTGAGTCTCTCTTTTACTCTGCTAATTTGAAGGACCTTATACGCCCTGTTGTCGAGTTTCTGTAGGTTACCTTTCCTGTAGTAAATCAATATAGAATTCAGCAAGTTTATCAGTTTTTTGCAGAGATTGCAAAAAATTCAGCTAAAAATTCGATTGATTTAATACTGCTTAGCAAGTGCTAATTACAGTGCCAACGTGAAATTTTTTTAGGCAAACACCAAAATTTCGAGGTGTCTGTTCGTGTGAAATAACCCGAGAAATTGCAATTATTAAGAAAATGGTAATGATATTAAATTTCTAAAGCAAGAAAGTACAGGTCTGCTAATAGATGAAGTGTCATTTCAGTGTTATAGAACTCTATCTACCTTTACAGCTAGAAGGCAACAGCAGCTTTCCCGTCTTACATGGCAAACTGAAACCATATTAACAAACACACTAAAAAGCGGTTGGACGGGTATAGAAATAAGATATTTAAAAAGAAGAACTTTTTCCATTAGATGTACCCACCAAATTCAAGTTGGTATCATCAGTGACATTCTGGTCCCAGCAGAGACAGACAGTCGACCTGTACAAAGTCAGCCCTGTTAAGGCAAATTAATTACGAAATTTCAGTACAACTATACAGTCAGCCCTGTCAAGGCAAATTAACTACGAAATTTCAGTACAACTATACACCGCTCTGGCGCCACTCCTCAAACTATCCAAAATGACAAAATAAAAAAAAATTATTTTAATTTCTGGTTCAATTTTTTGGCAGTTTCCGCAATGTTGATTGAGTACAGCCAAGGCGGTAGACTGGTACTTACGAATAACAAGGATAATTAACAGTTGCTTAGACGGCGAAAACTAAACTGTACTCTCTTGGTCTTATTCCTTGTAACGTCCAGTAACCAGTCGGACACATATTACACAATGGGTGACAGCACGCTGCAAATAGCTATCACTCAAAGAAAAAAATTGAAGTTGACGAATTTATGGCATCTAATTGAAGTGGGAAGGGTCGACAAAACACAAGTTTTTCATGTCGTACAGAAACTTAACCAACTATATAACAATAATCTTTCTGTTTCTGTTACATGGAAGCAATCTTAAGCGATAAGCCTTCTTCAGTTTCATTCTAAACAATGACCACATATTTCATAATTATGCAGCAAACAGACCGTGACTGCACTGCTGATGCAGCGCCAACGATAAACTGACGTGAAAGAAATAGTGGCAATACAGTGGAACTCTCGGTGTAATAATCGGCTCCCTTTGTATCCGCAACAGAATCTACTCATCTACAGCTTCAGAATCACCATAACCAAAATTTTCATCGACGATAACCACAGTGGATGAGTTTCTGAAATGAGCGCAAACTACCGAAATCTCGTTGCACATAAAACTGAAAATGATTGCTGGCTGCGTTCAATGAACCTCTTTACGGCAGTGGAGCATTGCCAAACACAATTGACTAACGTCGATACCAATGTAGACGTTCGAAGTTTAGACTTGAACTGTTAGGTGCAGTTGACTTGTTTTGATCTCCAGTGTACGGGACCTGCATTATTTATTTTTCCTTTTTTTTTTGGTTCTATCCTTCTATGATGACCGTATGTAAAGGCTTCTCAGTAGCTTTTTCGGTCATTTTAGCTCTATTTCCTGAAAAGTTTTACCCAGTCTCCAATATCTGTGTTACTGTAATTTTTATTGTGGAAATTCTGCAGCCAAGTGATATGCTACGATCGGGACGATTTTGCTCCCTTAAGTAGTTTTGTTTGGCTGTCAGCTATGCAGTAT